AAACAAAATAAATATAAGTAATATAAAAAAACCTAACCTAATGTGTTATTAGAGAAAATAATAAATTACATTTTGTGGTTTCATTTTTCTCCAGTAGGTGTCGCCGAAAAATTTTGAATCCATGCTTAAGTGACGGCGCAATCCAGGGGATGAAACTCTCATTCTTTCGACAATTTACAAAGAAAGTACTGACATCTAAAACATCGCACCCTAAAACTGCAACCGAATAAGTTTTATGAAGTAACGATAGATGTCGCAACCAAAGCACAGAATTAAGTTTTTACTGTGTGACAATACTTATGATCTGACTGTGTATATGTCAATGATTTAGATACATCATCAGCATTATTAGCCTATTAATATCCCCACTGTTGGGCATAGGCCTGTCCTATGGATGGAATAGGGAGATTGTGCCATGACCTACCACGCGGGCCTAGTGCGGATTGGTGGGTGCTATCGACTGCGGATGCAGCCGGGACCAATGGCTTAACGTGCCTTCCGCAGCACGGAGGAGCTCGAGATAGTAAATTTTTGGTCACCCATTCAACTGCTGCAATCGTTGAAGTTAAGCAACTCCGAAAGTTGCTTAACTTCAACGATTGCAGCCGAACGCGCTAATATTCATCTTTATGCTGATGGTACAAAGATATTCCGAGTTATACGAGACACAGGAGACTGTTCTTTATTGCTGATCGATTTAAATGACTTTAAAAGATACTGCAATAATAATAATTTATTTTGAAATCCAGATAAATGTCATATATAATAAATTTCTATTATAATACTTCATTGTATGGAAAGATTTTAAAACACGTAACAGAAATAAGAGACCAAGGTTATTTAAATAATTATTTTGTCGAAAATATGAGTAGAAATTCTAAATTGTTATTAACTTATTTCCTGCTGTTAATGCGTCCGAGCACCATTTGGAAAAAAAAAACATTTTTTTTTTATTATTTTTCTATGAACCACTTTTGTTCCTGTAATTAATTCATGCAAGAAAATAAATCCAAAGCTCTAATTGTCGATATTTCATGTCAATAACAAACTAAAATTATTACAATAATGAAAAAAAAAAAAATAGTAAAACGTACATTGAAATGTGCACTGCAAATGTGTACTTGAACTGCCCAAAACCGCTCTGTTGGATTTTTCATACTTGCGCAATTTATAACTTGAAAACGGTAAGTAACACACAGTAAAATTGTTTATACAAAAGTTGTTGGTAATTATGTACGGAACTTTTCCATTTAAAGTATCCATTAAAATGATATTTTCAGGGTGTGTCACGGTTACCCTGGTCTACTAACTAAGGTCAGAGAATGAGAAAATGAGACAACAGGATACCATGCAAATTAAAAATTTAATAAAAAAACTCGACCCGGACAAAATACAAATTATAACAGGTGGAGTTGAGCACTTAATCCACACAAGTTCTTTAGCTTCGTCGGTTCAGGTACTCTCCTGTGTAACGCCGGGTAGTTGGTGATCCCGGGAGTCGCGTTATGGATACCGCTGGCGACTGGAGGCTGCAGGAACGGGTAGCTGAGCCCGGCAGAGAGTACTCTTGTGTGGTGAAAGAAGGGGCTGTGAGGTGATACCGGCCAAGTTGGTATCCCGAGCGTTGAACCCTGGAACGCGCCATTAGAATACAATTACAAGCGGTCCAGTACTATTTTGCGAACATCCAGGGGCACTACGTCGTAAAAGAAAGTACCTAATTGTAGTAGTAGTGCCGTGGAATCATCACAATCAGAAACGGAGATTACAATTTCGACAAATAAATGGATTGATAATGAAATTTACGTATATTTAAAATTATTGAAAAATGAGGGTGGAATTAAACGACAATGAAATCTTTTATGTACCAAAAGTATGCAAAATCAATCTAAATGTGATTTATATTAATATGCATAATGCATGTTAAACACAAACATTGGGTTTGAAAATGAATTCTTACACTAATAACTACTTTAACTGCCTGCGACATTAAAATTACCACTTACCCAGTTTCGGGGCGGTCGACACTCACTTCACAATAATTTATGATATTATTTACTTGAGGAACGCTTAGTGACGATCACGAAAAATATTATATTGGTAGTTTTAAAGATTATTAAATTTTCCCGTATTAGAGACCATAAAATTCTATGTGACGTACGTTCGCTCAAATTAGATCGAGAAAAAATGAATTGGCGGGCGCCGGTCATGCAGTTTTATCTTAGCAAGAACAAAAGATCCTGCTTGGAGCGCTAAAATGTTGCCTCGCGCGAGTTTACGTATACTAATCCGCTTGATGAATTTATGTTGCATTTTAGTGTCAGTGAATAGTTTTATTATTGTAAATAGCCAATTTGTTTATTAATATTATTATGATTTGTAAATAATTTAGTTATAATAAAATTGTGTTTTATTTTTATAAGTAGTTTTTTGTGTAGAATTAAATCTAATAGTGTTATTATTTAGTTTTAGGCATTGTAAATATTAAATTTAAGAGTATTTTAGGGTAATAATATATGATTATGTAACGCATAACGTTACAGGTGAAAAAGTAAAAAGACACTTTTTTTGAGACTTTAGCGCCACCTACAATGCGCATTTTTTGTTGTACGAGATTGCAACAATGACTCAACGCCCTCTACAATTATGGTCGAAAAAAAAGTTTCTAGAATGCATACAAAACAAGAAAAATGCGTTTCAAAAATTGTTTGAGGGTTTTTTGAGTTTTTCAAAAAACGCCTACGAGTTGAACATGCCCATCGCCAAGGTGGCTTACTGACGTCATTTGGCATCAGAAAAAACAAGACTTACCTTTAGGTTTTTTTTTCACTGAAACGATTTTATTTTCGACAGATTGACTGTACTACAGCTTTATTGAAGTCAGTAAGGGATATGTGTTTTTAAACACTTTTTTTTTTGGCTTAATGTTAATTTTATCGTTATCAGTAATAAAATATAACTACTGCATACATGAAAATTATATTTTAGCAGAGTATAACCCAAAATTCAAATATATATGAAAATTTCGGTGTGCCATTATTTGCTATAATTTGAAGTTTGCGGATCACTATACATTTCAAACGTTTTCTGTTGATTTTGAAATATTTTAATCATTTTTAAAGTCGTTTTATTTCGATACTTAACCTATATTTAATAGCATTGTGGAACCATATTCAGTAGAAAATTAATTTTGAACTTTCTACACGTAAATAAATAAAGGATTCCGCTTCAGAGCCAATCATAAAAGTCTATATCCACTAAACATCTTAAACAAAAAAATGGCGTCGTTATTGTCGCCATATAAGCAATCTGCATGGTGCATCTTTTACGCTCTACCAACCCCTCAAGAGGAGCTCGATGGCGCAAGTGGCTAACGCGTTCGGCTGCGATCGTTGAAGTTAAGCAACTTTCGCAACGGTCGGTCATTGGATGGGTGACCAAAAATCTTCTATCTCGAATTCCTCCGTGTTTCGGAAGGCACGTTAAGCCGTTGGTCCCGACTGCATCTGCAGTCGTTAGCATCCACCAATCTGCACTGGGCCCGCGTGGTGGGTCATGGCCCAATCTCCCTATTCCATCCATAGGGAAGGCATGTGCTTCAGCAGTGGGGACATTAATGGGCTGATGATGATGATGATGATGAACCCCTCAAAGGATATACATTCTGTCACTGCCGTGTGTTAATTCATTTAAAATGTTTGTTTACCAAATTATAGTTATTGGTATTCAAAAAACTTTATCTGTGGTAGGTTATTCATATGGGAATCTTTTAAAATATCCCTTCTATTGATTGATGGTTCCATATGAATAAATTAAATATATATTTACTGCTTACTGTTCAGTAATGGTTTTTATAGAGACACATTTATTTTGACTTGCTCGATGTGATCGTAGAAGTAAATTAACTTTCGCATAGGCTTTCCTCTCCTTCGTGCTTCAGAAGGCACCTCAAGCCGATGTTTCTTTCCTTGCTGCGTCTGTAGTCACTAGAATTGACCAATCTGCGCTGTCAATCATCTCTCCGTCATCATATATCCTCCCAATTCTATAGTATATCCGTAGGGAAGGCCTGTATCCCAGCAGTGGGGAAAAGAACAAGCAATCATGATGATCGCGACTTCGTTCGCGTTAACTTAGTTTTTTGAGAATCCCGACGTTACGACGTTTGACGTTATACTTTTACAAGTATTAAACATTTGAAAGAAGAAATAGCAATTATAGTTATAATTTTAATTTTTTAAGCATGTGAATTGTGACTGCTTGATGTTTAAATCTAAGGAAAAATAATTAGAAAAAAATCCATTGCTTGATGATTTAAACATCAAGCAGTTCATCATCAGCCTATTTATGTCCCCGCTGCTGGGGCACAGGCCTTCCCTATGGATGGAATAGGGAGATTGGGCCATGACCCACAACGAGGGCCTAGTGCGGAATGGCGGGTACTAACGACTGCAGATGCAGCCGGGACCAACGGCTTAACGTGACTTTCGAAGCACGGAATAACTCGAGATACATGATTTTTTGGTCACCCATCCAATGACCGACCACTGCGAAACTTTCTTAACTTCAACGATCGCAGCCGAACGCGCTAACCACCTGCGCCATCGAGCTCCTCATCGTGTTTATAATATTAGTAGGATAATAGGAAAGGGAGAAAGGATATTTTGGACTTTTCACTCAGATTGGAGTGTGTATGTCTACAATTGTGATCAGTGCCGTCTTTGACCTATTAGAGGCCCTGGGCATATTAGGATAATGGGGCCCCTATGACCACTTGTGATTTAACAGAACTTAGGGACTTTGTATTTGATCTGAGGGGGCCCTTATCCATGGCGGGGCCCTGGGCACTTGCCCAAAGTGGCCACTGCGAAAGAGGGGTCTGATTGTCATAGTACTAACGGAAGGTCTTCACAGTTGTGGAACCCTAAACATGCCGGGTGACTATCAGCAGGCAGGCAGATAGTTAAACCGCAGCTCGTTATCAGTCGGTTAACGTCGCTCGACGCGCTGCACACGCCGCGCCGCGCCGCGCTTTTTGCGCCCGGTCCGCCCGCCTTCTTCACTATAAATACCCTTTTAAATTTCCAAGTTTCCATACTCAAGCCGTAGTGCACGGCTTGAAACATAATAATAAGTTTCTGCTGAAGTATCTATTCTATATAGTTAGATAGGTACCCATAAATAAGTTTCAAGTTAATTTATTTTTATTGAAGACCAGTTAAATCTTGTGGTGAGTTGAATTGCATTGTAATTTTTATTGCTACTGTTTTTTTTTTATAAACTTAATACTGATGTTTTTCAAATAGAAATTATTAGTAATTAACTAGTGCATCCGTGTAGACTGTTTGTTTTATTATTTTCGAGGACTTGTTGAGAAACTAAACCTTAAAGTAGTTAGGCTTTACAGGTACAGCTTAAGGATTTGATTTTTAACAAGTCCTCGAAAATTGTGCAGTCAACACGGACGATCTACACACATCAAAAGTGTCTAGGGATCAACATATATTTTTGCAATAACTTTTCTCCTGATTGATATTAATTAAAATTTTCTTTAAGGATTCATCAAATAAAGTGTTTTCGTTTGTCACAGTAACGATAAACCAAGTCACCTTTGCATTAATAAAGAAATTTGCCATTTTCCTAATAAAGGGATTTTTGACATTTGAACCACTAACACAAAAGTTCGAAAAAAAGACTGAAATAACAGTTTTCTCTAAAATTTTATTGGGTAACTTAAACAATTAATAATCCGTATTTCTACCGCGAACACTAACAACACAAGAACATCGGTTTGGCATACTCAAAATGAGTTCATCCAAATCACGCTGTGGAATGGCCGCCCATGTTCGTTGCAACAACAAAAAAAGGTCTTCTTGCGACTGGATACCCTCCATATTCGGCAGAGCTCTTCTCTGTAGCATATCCCATGCATGCTCAATCGGGTTCAAGTCTGGCGACTGAGCAGGCCAGGGCAGGACATTGATGTTAGCTGCGGCGAGAGTCTGTCTTACAACTCTTGCGGTGTGCGGTCGTGCATTATCATGCATTAACTGAAATAAGGGACCGATTTGCACTTGTAGAGGAACGATTACGTCTGATACAATCGTCTCAGCATAAATTTGAGCGTTGAGGTTGCCTCTGATCCAAATCAACTCAGTTCTTCCGCCGATCCAAATACCCGCCCATACCATGATGGTTCCACCACTATAAGGATGGACTTCCTGGCAGGATTTTAATCGCTGTTGGCGTCCAGGGGTTCTCCAGTGTCGTATACGTCTTGTATCCGGTCTCATACCAAAACGAGACTCATCAGAAAAGCACACGAAACGCCATTGTTCTTCTGCCCAATTTCTGTGTTCAAGAGCCCATTGATATCGAATCCTACGATTGTGCATTGCTATAGGTGGTACCCGTAGCGGTCTTCGGGAATGAAGGTTCACTTCATGCAAGCGGTTTCTGACTGTTTGGTCGCTAATTAAGTTCCCTGAAGAGTGATGAAGCCTCACGGCTAACATCATGGCGGTTATTGTTGGAGCTCTTCGAGTTAAGATTTGAATGTATCGGTCTTGTCTCCGTGTGGTGCAGCGATACCGTCCTCCATGGCGCTCAGCCACGGTACCAGTGCTTCGGTATCGTGTCCAAAGTCGACTGATAACACTCTGACTTGTATTCAGAGCTAAAGCCACAGTACGTTGCCGGGAACCAGCTTCTATCATTCCCACGGCTCTGAGCATTTCTTCCCTGCTTAAATGACGTCGCCGCTCCATAATAACGTTGGTTTTAATCAGTAGTAGGGAAACAGTAGCACTAATAATGTCTTCAATGCGTTGTATGTTTTTATAGGGAAAATATTGACAGCTGATTTTCATCTTTTACTCGAATTTGATTCACAGTTCCTGATTCAAATTATGAAATGCACCAAAAAGGATCCATATAAATTTATAAAATCATAAATTTATTACAAAGCCACATCTCAATCTCAAGAAATCCGCATAAAAATGCTTGATCCCTAGACACTTTTGATGTGTGTAGTTACAAACCTCAAAGCGTATTTGAAAAATACGAATTTTTAAATCATTAAAATCTTTAATTTGAAAATGTTTCTACCATGTTTAACTTATTTCAACTCTTTATTTTCGCGAAAAAGAGGTCCTTTAATTCTTCAGTGTTCAATTTGTGAGCTTGATACAAGTTCCACTGCTATCTATTTTGTGATTCTACGTTGGTTCCTATGTTAATGTTACCTGTAACTATTTATTTCGTATGTTTTCACGCACACCAATAGTTTCACAAAAACTTTTTCTGAATCCGTACCCCTAGCTCGAACCACTACTGTCAATGGTGCCAATTCTGGCGTGATTCTCTAAACTTAAAACTGAATTTAACATCAGTCTCTCCTTTTCATTCTGTATAGAGAATGACAAGGATATACTGCTGTCAAATTTAAGTTTAGGTTTAGAGAATCATGCTAGAATCGACACCAATGTCAAATTTTGTATGGAAACTTGAACAGCAGCGGCACAAAGTACGTAACGAGAACTAATAAATCAGTACACATTTGACAATGTCATTTCGGACTCGCAAACGATACGAATTCGATATTGGTTCATGCTAGGGATACGATTGCTGTTATTATGACGTTTAGGAAAAACGTCAATAAATGGAAGTTTACATTCGTTCCAAAATGGTTTCATACGATACCTATTAATTTCTCTTCGTGACGTCCGGTTCCAACGGAAGACCAGCGCTATGGCAACATTAGCATCATGCTAAGTTAGGACCGTTTTGAAACAAAATATTTAAATGTGTGTGGGTTTTTGAAGTTATACTTCTTTAGGCGCGTCATGAAAAAATGATGAGAGTGAAATTTTAAGATGCGCGCGCATCACTGTAACACAAAATTTTAACAGCATGAAGTTGGTCGCTTTAGCAACCAACTTCATGCGTTACTTTTGTGTTTACCGCACATTAAGAAAATCTACCAACAAAATAGAAATAGAATCTCCATTTAGTGGGTGCTAACGACTGCATTGTGAAGGCCTATCAAAAGTATTTATTAATCTGGAACAACGGAACCAAAGCGCGATTCAGGAGACTACAGCGCCATCTCTTGACCATTGGTGTAGTAGAACCAAAAACCACATCTTTATTTTTTGTAATAAAGTAACAGTTATAGGTATTCATATTTATAATATTTATCCACATGTTTCTAGTTTGTATATTCGGAATACGTGTTTGAGTTTCATACAAGTGCAAATCACATATGTTCTAATAAATTATATTCAGTAGCGATTTTAATTGAATATTTTGATTATTTATTTATTTTTTCAAATTAAAACTGAACTTTATTGACTGTGTCCTTTTCCAAACTTTTTATTAATGTACTGTCATTAATTATTTGCATGCAATTAAAAACTAATTTTAAACGATGCCAAAGAAGGATAACTTCTCACGCGCCTACATAAGTACACGCACCCATTTTTTTTTTTATATATATTCTTCTACGGTTTTTTTTTGGCTGAAATAAATTTATTTTTCATTCTTTTTTTGATGTTGAAACTGTTATTTCGTCTACAGCTTACAAGATGGGTGACCGAAACAATCTGCTGTTGTTCTTCGACCGGCCTACGGAGCCCTGCTTCATGCAGAAGGGCGATGAGAAGGCGGTCTTCGAAGTACCTGACCATTATTACGTAAGTATCTTATAACTGTATCTGTTAATAACTCTTTTGCTTCATTAGATGTCTTCAAAGCTGCACTTTCGTGGTTATGTCTCAATTTTTATTGTATTTCTCAGATTACAGAAAAAAAGATGGAATGCACGGAACACGCAAGTGCGGCTACTAAAACAAATATGAAGTCAAAAGTAAAGACTTTTTTGTCTTTATGAACAGTTTTTGCAATGTTTAAACAAGGCGGTACAGTTTTGAGAAAGACTTAAAATCCACGAGACGTATTCACAACATGATACGTTGTAGTCTAAAGGGGCCCATATAAGGAACGATTCGTCGATGCGATCGATCTGAAGGAAATCGTCAACGATCGATCGTTCAGAAATGCCACTACATACACGAAACACTGTCGATCGATCGTTTACGATATTCATGATTGCATGGGATTTGGTTTGTTTGTGGTTCGATTTGCGATATCGTCTTCGATTAAGTAAATCGTTAACGATCTTGACATACACTGTCGATCCATCGTTTCGATCGGTCAGAAACGACGGATCGTACAGATCAATCGTACCGTATATGGGACACTGACGATCGATCCTTTACGATATTCATGATTGCATAGGTTTTTGTTGCGATCTCCAATATCGTCTGCGATTAAGTAAATCGTTAACGATCTTGACATACACTGTCGATCCATCGTTTCGATTGGTCTGAAACGACGGATCGTACAGATCAATCGTTCCTTATATGGGCCCCTTAATGAGCGAGTTGATACTCGCTTTTTTTTATATATTCTTTGGTAGCACGCAATCTGTGTACCGTGTGCTCCATCTGCCTTTAGTTCTGTAATCTGAGTTGTAAGTTGTAACACTTAACACGTTATGGTAGGTAGACACAGCGGGGTTTCCCGCTATGATTTTAGCTCCCGTCTGAGCGAGTGATCTCTACCTTATATAAAAGCCATACGCTATAACACAACCTTTTGATGGTGTTGTGCTTCTAGGACTACACAATGTAGAGGATCGGGTTCAGAACAGTCAGGTGTAGGTAAATCATCTTCACCTTAATGGTTTCAATCAATCGTGCCGCATTAAAAACCCCCGCGACTGGTCTCCTCTTACGCTTAACATAAAAAATTGGGTGGCTTTTTTGCAAGTTTATGAACAAAGTAGCTTTTGTCTTCGGTCTTTTAACATAACGTAGGCTATTATAGTAACTCAAGTGATTCAATACATCTCCTACAGCTCTAATAAAACCTTTTATTTGCAGCCAGAAAAATACAAGAGCCTGAGCTCGACACTATCCAACCGATTTGGGTCGGAAGCCACTCGTACGATCCCCATCCGGAACATCGCTCTGCCCAACCTCTCCCTGCCCATGCAGCTGCCGTACAACGAGCAATTCTCGCTGTTCGTGCCACAGCACCGCAAGTTGTCCGGCAAACTCATCGACATCTTCTTAGGTGAGTGTTATCTGGCTTGGGCGCGACCCGCACTATTCCTGTCTGAAACAACTCGCAGCAAAACCTTTCCCTGCCCATGCAGCAGCCGTATAATGAGCAGTTAGCGCTGTCTATGCTGCAGCATCGTTAAGTGTCTGGGAAACTCATCGACATCTTCTTAGGTGAGTGTTATCTGGCTTGGGCGCGACCCGCACGATTCCTGTCTGAAACATCGCGCTGCCCAACCTCTCCCTGCCTATGCAGCTGCCGTATAAAGAGCAGTTAGCGCTGTCTATGCTGCAGCACCGTTGAGTGTCCGGGAAACTCATCGATATCTTCTTAGATGAGTGTTATCTGGCTTGGGCGCGACCCGCACGATTCCTGTCCGAAACAACTCGCAGCAAAACCTTTCCTTGCCCATGCAACTGCCGTATAATGAGCAGTTAGCGCTGTCTATGCTGCAGCACCGTTAAGTGTCCGGGAAACTCATCGACATCTTCTTAGGTCAGTGTTATCACAAAATATAAAGAAGCCAAAAGAACGGCTCTTGCCATTTTGGAAATAATAACCTACCTAAATTACCGCTATTGGTTTTCACATGCGTAGTCACGAATAAGAAGGCTCAAAATTCGCAAAGAGCGATGCTCGATATTTCTCTGCACTATATCGGAAAAGTATACCAGTGAAATAAATAAATGTCGAAATCAATAGCAGATATAAAACAATCCACAGTTCACAGTTCTGCTGAAATGGTAGTGGGCGAAACACGTAGCGAGGAGAATCGATGGCGGAAAAGTTCTCGGATGGTGACTGCAAACCGGACGACGCTCTGTGCGGTAGGGCTCCACGAGGTGGACCGACAAGTTGGTGAAGGTCGCGGTAAACCGCTGGATGGAAGTTACGCACGATTTAGTGTGTACAGTACAATCTTGGGGAGGCCTGGGTTCAGCAGTGGATTTCACACGGCTAATATGATAATAACTACTTCTGGTGTATCAAGCCTAGTGTTACCAGGACCGATTTCTTTTAAATCGGTACAAGAGGTCAAAACAATCGGGATTTAGGGTTGCAGATCGTGACAGTAAACAAAAAATAAGGGGTTTAAAGTCTGGGTTTATTTATTGCGTTTCAAACTGCTAGTGCAAGTATAGTATATATTAATTACCTTAATTTCAGTTTTTCATTAATCGGGACATTTAGCGTCCTGATCAGCTCCAGACCCCTGAAAATCGAGACATCCCGCGCATATCGGGTCACATGGCAACACCAATCAAGCCACTTGATTCAAGCGTGACTTTAGTAGATTAATAAAAAAAGTTGCTACATAAATATGTAAAATGTTACGTTGTCTCCAGGTATGCGTGACGTGGACGACCTGATGTCGGTCTGCTCGTACTGCCAGTTGCGCATCAATCCCTATATGTTCAACTATTGCCTCTCCGTTGCCATGTTGCACAGGTACGTAATAAATAAATGAATAAGTGTCACCGCACACGGGCCACCGACCACAACCACAAAACGCCGCCACCGGCATATTTCTTGTAGTTTTCATACATTTTATATGGACTCGCCACACACGGTACGCCGGTGGCCGCCACACGCTACAAATCGTCGTTGCTCGCTTCTTGTGGCCACTTAATGCGCCGATACAAAACCCCGCCACATGTCACTCGCGCGATTCCCCACCCCTTTCCCCCTTACCTTAGTCGGCCGCTGTCGCGCGCTTCAGCCACTTTAGTAGCCGCTTCTAGCTTCTCGTGGCAGCGTTTGTGGCTGTGGCGTGCGGCCGGTGTGCGGCGACACTAAGGGACGATGTCACATTACTATGATCTTAAAGGAACTAACAATATTTGCTTCCAGATCTGTTTAAGCTGAGTTATGTCCGTTTGCTCTACACTCAATGTTGCATATTTATCAACTATTTGTGTACAATTTTATTCCAGGGATGATACGAAGGGTCTGAACATTCCGACATTCGTGGAGTCCTTCCCAGACAAGTTCATGGACCCGAAGGTATTCCGGCGAGCAAGGGAGGTCACCAACGTTGTCACCTCCGGGAACAGGGTCAGTAACTATAACTGCTGTACCAGCTATCTTCGCGTTTGGACTTTATTACCACTTAACATCAGGTGGGGTAGAGTCATTTGCCTACCTTAATATAAAAAAAAAAATATTCATGATCAGTCCTTCATTCCAATGAATTTATGGTGATTTGTATTGGACGACTGTAAGCTTCTTTGACTTTCGAAATCACTGCTATGGTACATAACTTCTCCATGGGTATACTCGTATTTACAAATGGAAAACGAAGTTTAAGGTGTCTCGCAAATTAAGTTCTTCTCTACACCCTAAAGGAGTCCTTAAACAGTGGCAAGATAAACGTTTTTTGTTAACTCCCACAGAAACTAAATTTTCTTTCTGGGATCAAAGTCTTTAAAGTCATAATCATCATCATCATCATCAGCCTATTTAATGTCCCCACTGCTGGGGCACAGGTCTTCTCTATGGATGGAACGCGGGCCCAATGCGGATTGGTGGGTGCTAACGGCTGCAGATGCAGCCGGGACCAACGGCTTAACGTTCCTTCCGAAGCACGGAGGAACTCGAGATTGAAGATTTTTGGTCACCCATCCAATGACCGAGCACTGCGAAAGTTGCTAAACTTCAACGATCGCAGCCGAACGCGCTAACCACCTGCGCCATCGAGCTCCTCCAAAGTCCGAGCCAAAGTTATAATACAGATAATAAATTATATGGGTGCCAAATTTCATCCATATTCGTTCAGACGTTTTCGCGTTATTCAATAGCAATTATCCAAACAAACAAACTTTCACATGTATCACATTACTTAGTAGGTTAACCTTAATGATGGCATTCCTCCAGATGCCAGTAATAATCCCGTCGAGCCTGACCGCCGCTGACTCGGAGCCAGAGCAACGTGTGGCATACTTCCGCGAGGATATCGGCATCAACCTGCATCACTGGCACTGGCATCTGGTGTACCCATTCGACGCAGCCTTCGATGTCGTTAACAAGGACCGCAGGGGAGAGCTGTTCTACTACATGCATCAACAGATCATAGCCAGGTTACTTACTACCTTTAGGTTTAGTTTTATCTGGCACTAGCGGCCCGCCCTCGCTTCGCTTCGGTGTAGAGCTGAAGTGTAGACTACAGTTTTTGTTCTCAGGCTTGTATTATACACAATGACATTCATCTATGATTCTTTTTAAAACTGCATGCAAAGTCTCAGCCCGATCGGTTTAAAATTGTCAAAGTTTCATACAAACTTTCATTCCCTATTTTATCCCATTGGGTGCAGAATTGATCAAAATCTTTTCTTAGCGGATGCCTACGTCATAACATCTACCTGCATGCCAAATTTCAGCCCGATCCGTCCAGTGGTTTGGGCTGAGCGTTGATAGATCATTATGTCAGTCAGTCACCTTTGAGTTTTATATATATAGATATTGCTGCAGAAACTTCTTCGTGTCTCCTTCAGAGAAACTTATGCTGTATGCTTTTGGATAAAAACTAACAATAAACTTAACTAGTAAAGTATCGTACAATGGGTTCCAACGGAAGATCAGCTCTGATGAGCTCTGATAACATTATGCTGAGATTTTTTAATATATGGTGCTTTTGTTTTAAAATTTATGGTCATTCACATTATGCAGGATTACTCCATGTATCAGTCTTATTTTGTCCTGCTAATAGGGGTGATGACGGGGTACAGTAAACGAAATTCTATTTAGTCCGTCAGTTAGATGATCAAAAAATAATGGACACATTTTTTTTCTTTGGGCAATCAACCAAAAACTGACAATGTTATAGCGCGTCAAAGTTTGGGAGTAGGGGCTCGTGACGTCGTCACTTTTAAGTGAAAATTGTACCAAAACGTGACGTCATGCGACTTTACAAATCAATATATCTAAGAAAAAATACGTGTCTAATACTTTTTGATAATCTACCTGATAAACGAAAAAAACAAAAGTCATAAAATCATCATAAAATCATATCATAAATATTAATTAAAAACACGACCTTTTCGTCTCAAACAAACATTTCTTCCTTTCTTCTATATCTGATGCTCAGCTCCGTTTGATAACACGAACATTTTTTATCTTTGCAGATATAACGCTGAGCGGTTGTGCAATAACCTGGGTCGTGTGACGAGATACAACGACTTCCGCGCGCCCATCGCTGAGGGGTACTTCCCCAAGCTGGACTCCAACGTCGCCAGTAGAACTTGGCCACCAAGGTTCCTATACCATTCATTCAACATCGACCTATTAATGTTCCTGTAGCGGCGACATCTATATGCCCTACAGATATACAACGGATGTAGGAAAACATTACTCACCATCCTCAAGAGATGGCGTTACCTGCACTGCGATCAATATTAGTATGGAAGCCTACATCGCGCAAATGAAATTCGGAGGCTAACTCTTCATATATACGATGCCCGACCAACATCAGTTGGGCCGCGGCCCCCGAGCTAACATCACCCAGCTCGGAGGAAGATCTTCCCCTTTGGCCTTCCTACATTCCCATTGGACAAAGGCCTTCCAGAAGGATCTAATAAGGAGATTGTGCCCTGACCCACCACGCGGGTCCAGTGCGGATTGGTGGGTGCTAATAGCCATGGCCACGTGCCATTTGAGGCCCGGAGAAGCTCAAGATAGTAAATTATTCGTCACACTTGCGCCTTCAAACTCCCCATATACCATTACTATCCATAATATTAATCTCAATTATGAAGTAGCTGGTGTAATCCGTAAGTCAAGCATGGTTGAATTATAGAGTTAGGGAATATGGTGCAGGCCATATAACAGAATTTAAAGATGTCCATTTTCAATCGTTCAGACTGGTAAAGTATGGTATTAGTTGTTTTCGCAACACTTGACTTCAGGTAGGGTGGAGTGATTTGATCAACCTCTTTAGAGGATTTAGTACATAATCCGTTTAAAGTCTGTGCGGAAAGAGGATGGGCGTGGCGAAAAACGGAACTAACATTAAGATTTTTATTTGGCAATCAAACCCAGCAATTTGTAAAACGTGAAAGTTTTGTATTGATACGGATTTGTTTGCTGTTGTGATTTCTTGCGGTTTTTTGTATTTAATCATGTCTAAAAGGGGTCCTTACAAATACGGTAGAAAAGCACTACAGCGCCCTCCAATCTAAATCCCATTCTCTTACCGCACAGACTCTACTGCAGATTTCTTTTAGGGAATATCGGCAGAGTATTACAATGCTGAGATTGTATCGTCAATATAACGACATAGTATCTTATTTGCATGTTTTTAAATATTTTTTTAATAAAAGACAAATAGAACATAATCCGTTTACGGCAGATTTCTTTTTGGGAATATCTGCCGAGCATTATAATGCTGAGATTGTACATAGAAACGTCAAAGTGCCTTATTTGCATGTGTTTTGATATTGTAGAATGCGACATTACAGCTAAACGATTGATTCAGTGTTGTCAATAGGAAAAATAAAACGATAAGAATAATCAAAAGTGTTGTATTATGTTACCGATTTGACTTAAACGATGTTATAATATTTATTTTTTAAGCACGTAACTTAACTGCTCGATGTTTAAACCTAAAGAAAATATTACTAGAAAAAATTACACGTGGACCGCAGCAGACGGAAGTTGAACCCGCACCCTTCGCTATCCGGGCGAATGCACTGACCATTATGCTACCGCAGCCTTGATGGCAGTGTGTGAATTCTTTCTAGCCTTTCTTAAGCTGCAAAGCATTCTGGGTTGGGCCCCGTCTGCTGCCCGGTCCACGTGGAATTTTTTCTAGTAATATTTTCTTAGCGCTTTTCTCTCGAGGTGCTCGATGGCGCAGGTGGTTTGCGCGATCGGCTGCGATCGTTGTAATTAAGCAACTTTCGCAGTTGGATGGGTGACCAAAAATTTCTATCTCGAGTTCCTCCGTGCTTCGGAAGGCACGTTAAGCCGTTGGTCCCGGCTGCATCTGCAGTCGTCAGCACCCGCCAATCCGCACTGGGCCCGCGTGGTGGGTCATGGCCCAATCTCCCTATTCCATCCATAGGGAAGGCCTGTGCCCCAGCAGTGGGGACATTGAGAGGCCGATGATGATGATGATGAATATTTTCCTTAAACAATGTTGTCGTCGTTGTGCAGGTTCGCTAGTTCGGTGATCAGAGACCTGGACCGGCCCGTGGACCAGATCCGCGCCGACGTGTCCCAGCTGGAGACCTGGCGCGACCGCTTCCTGCAGGCCATCGAGAACAACGCCGTCCTCATGGTCAGTGGTCATACTCATACTATATTAGGGGATCAAATACTATATAATCTATCTATATATATAAAAATGAAACCCGTTTTCCGTTGTCACGACATAACATGAAAACGGCTTGACCGATTTGGCTGATTTTTTCTTTGTAGTTTTCTAATACTCTGTACAAGGTTCTTACGGAAAAAATTTTGATCAATTCTACCCCCAAGGGGATAAAATAGGGAATGACAGTTTGTATGAAACTTTGTCAATTTTAAACCGATCGGGCTGAGACTTTGCATGCAGGTATAAGAAGAATCATAGATGAATGTCATTATGTATAATACAAGCCTGAGAACAAAAACTGTAGTCTACACTTCAGCTCTACACCGAAGCGAAGCGAGGGCGGGCTGCTAGTTTTAAAATAAAAATAAAATAAAAATAAATACTTCCAACACTCACACCAATTAGCCTAGCCCCAAAGTAAGCACTATAAGGCTTGTGTTATGGGATACTAGGGTAACGGATAGAATACATATACTTTACATATATAAGTATATTTATATAGAAATACATATTAAACATCCATGACTGGAATACAATTGCTCGTGTTCATCACACAAACATCTGCCCCCACCAGGATTCGAACCCGGGACCTCTCGAGACGGCGACGCTATGAAACCCGGCGTACAAACCATTCGGCCACGGAGGTCGTCGGGTCTAATCAACTGAGTAACCAGCTCCATATTTCACGATCTCTTCTTTGACTTCACACTGTTCCTTTAACACATTATTCTTCATTACATCTTTACTATCACATATTGTCAATACCCTTTCAATCTGGCAGCCGAACAACTCGACGATGCCCCTCACAGAGGAGACGGGTATCGACGTACTCGGCAACCTGATGGAGTCGTCGATCCTGAGCCGCAACCGCGGCTACTACGGCGATCTGCACAACATGGGCCACGTGTTCATCTCCTACGCGCACGATCCGGACCACAGGCACTTGGTAACTACTCTATCATCATCATCATCAGCTTAGCTTGCTTGGAATGTCCCCATTACAGGGGCACAGGCTTTCTCTACGGATGGAATAATAATAATAATGGTTTATTTATCTTAAAGTTACAATTGCTCTTATATACTAATTAGAGGAATTAAATCTTAAATATTTTTTTACATATAAGAGGTTCGTTGACGGCTGTACTAGTATTAACTGTGTCACAACCGTCAGCGACTCCTTCCATGATATTTTGTCATGGGGATGCACAAAAATTAACCTTATTTAAACCATCTAAAGTACCTAGCCAACCAAAAATAAGATAAGGAATAGGGATACTGGGCCGTGACTCGCCCCGCGGGCCCAGTGCGGATGGGGGTGCTAACGAGTGCAGATGCAGCCGGGATCAACGGCTAAGCGGGTCTTCCGAAGCACGGAGGAGTGAGAGATACGAAATTTTTGGTCAGCCAGCTTGTTAATGTCCCCATTGCAGGGGCACAAGCTTTTTCTACGGATGGAATAGAAATACTGGGCCGTGACTCGCCCAGCGGGCCCAGTGCGGATGGGGGTGCTAACGAGTGCAGATGCAGCCGGGACGGCTAAGCGTGCCTTCCGAAGCACGGAGGAGTGAGAGATACTAAATTCTTGGTCAGCCATCCAATAACTGACCACTGTTATAGGTTGCTCAATTTCGCGCTAACCGCTTGCGCCATCGAGCTCGTCTTCAAACTACCTTATATATTTTTAAATGTTTATGTTGGTAAACGAACTAAAAGTCCATCCGTCCAGTCCAAGATGGCATGATAGTTGGTGAACGTATTGAACCCCTTTCCATCTTTGCGATTAGCAGTTATTTTTTCAAAATTATTGTTTCTCCTTCTGGCATCATGGCATAAATTCCACAGTTTACTATTTGATTTCTGTAGTGATCGGGAGAGGGTCGAAATGTTCTCCAGAACACATAAAAACCTACGGTTGATATATTTATTTTACCCGGTCTTCAATGTGTCTGGAACGATAATGGTGATACGTCTCCTTAATTTAGGATAAGATAAGACTAAAGTATGTGATGAGGAGCTCGATGGCGCAAGTGGTTAGCGCGTTCGGCTACGATCGTTGAACTTAAGCAACTTTCGCAGTGGTCGGTCCTTGGATGGGTGACCAAAAATTACTATCTCGAGCTCCTCCGTGCTTCGGAGGCACATTAAGCCGTTGGTCCCGGCTGCATCTGCAGTCGTTAGTACCCACCAATCTGCACTGGGCCCGCGTGGTGGGTCATGGCCCAATCTCCCTATTCCATCCATAGGGAAGGCCTGTGCCCCAGCAGTGGGGACATTAATAGGCTGATGATGATGATGAAAGTATGTGATATTGTAATCCAAAATAATTATTGGTGCTTGTTGATCGGCTTCTATTACAATCACGACAATTACATTTGCAATGATAGTCTCTTCGGGTTTGACTTTTATGGGTCAGTTTTTCGTTTGTCTTTTTATAGTTATGACCTCTTGTAGATTCCACTATTTTTTATAAAGCCCAGTTCTATGGACCATATCTGCTTTTGACCACTTTCATATTTGACTACCTATACATATAATTTTAATTATTTAAGCATTTAACTGCTTCATGTTTAAATCTAACGAAAATATAACTAGAAAAAAATCCACGCGGTCCAGGCAGCAGACGGGACTCGAACCCGCACGAAATTCTTCTAGCCATTCTTAAGCTGCAAGGCAGTGCCATTTCTTCGCATTGTAGGTAACCCACAATGTCAAATGAATACTTTTACAAGTATTAAACATTTGAAAGAAGAAAAAATAGAAGAATATATACATGTGCGTAAAAATGTCCAATTTTTTTATGTTCTCGCATGAACGTTGCATCGCCGCGTCGACAAGAAAGTAAACTCATATAATAAAAACAACTCTTAATACTCGTAATATAATAATTATTACAGTAACAATTTCATAGATTGTTATAACTTTTTTTCAACCTATATTTTTTTCATCCTTTTGCACACTGTACCGAAAGTAGGCGAAAAAACGAAATGGTTGAATCCAGAAACAGTCGACAAGACAATTTTAAGCAGAATTAGTCAAAACCAGAAATCGACATATCTGTAGTAGCATATGCTCAGGTAGTTTTTCAAAAAGTAGTCTCCAAAGTCAAACCTGTCTCTTCATTGTTCATAATGTTTTCTAGGTTGTTAATTATGTTTGTATTTGTTGCCCAGGAACAATTCGGTGTGATGGGTGACTCGGCGACTGCAATGCGCGACCCCGTGTTCTACCGCTGGCATTCCTACATCGACGACATCTTCAACTTGTACAAGTCAAAACTACCACCTTATCCCGCTGACAGGGTATATAATGTCAAAGTATACTTCCTTAACATAAGCTCCTTTTTAATTTTATTTTTTATAATTTGGAAAGGTGTTAAACCTCCCTAAACCAACGCGATTAACGCGAACAGGGTATCTGAAGAAAGAAAGAAAGAAAGAAAGAAAGAAAGAAAGAAAGAAAGAAAGAAAGAAAGAAAGAAAGAAAGAAAGAAAGAAAGAAATTATTTATTGACCCTATAAAATTACAAATAAAAAGCACAGATAACAAACAGAATAAGGTCAACTAGGTCCCTGCCTCAGCACAATGCCACAACGACACCAAGGCCAAAAAAAAAACAATAAGGAAAAAAGAAAAAAAAAAATAGACTCATCTCTACCCATTTCATCTAGTTCTAGCTAGAGGCTTGATGAAATGAGCAAAGCCCTGCCCAGTAAACACCAGATAATGCTCCTGCATCAGTCACCTGAATTGAACTATAAGGACCGAGGTTCCCTTAATGCGTGTTGGGAGTGTGGGTTGAAACCGCGGATAATATTGACACCCGAGATACTTTAAAATAGTGGAGACAGGTTACTTAAGTCAAGAGAAATGTTGCTGAAATTACCGAATAACGAATACAAAAAGTTCTAGTTAATTTATCAAAATATTAAATTTTATGAAATCAATGAAAATCTATGTGGAAAGCAAAAAGGTTGTTCATTTAACACATCCACACGACTAGTATACAATTTTGAAATTATTATTGTGGTAGAATATGATGATGCGTCGCGGTTTCGTTATTCGCCACATGATGTTTTGGGATATTCAGGCTTTTCGACCTCACCATCGTTAAATATAAGGAGGGTTAAACAGCTAGGCCTATATTTCAATCACACACGTATTATATCTTTTCTTCAGACAAGATCAAAATTGCAAAATTTTGCAATGTTACCCAGATATATTTCGATTTTTCTATCCAGCAACCGGAGAGTCCTGTCTAAAAGATGTCAAATCAAATCAGTTAGGCATCATCCTCTTAAATTTTAACTACGTCCCCGCATTATAATTAGTCAGTAATCAACCACTTAAACGTTAACTACGTGCCCGCATCATAATTAGTAAAGCATCATCCTCTTAAACCAGTGTTTCCTAACCTTTCCAATACTGCTACCCCTGTAACCTATTAGGAAAACAGATTTTACCCCGACTTTAAAACGTTATCATCAGTCCAAGAAATTCCAATTTGTCCGCTACATCTTCGTCTCTAATAATGTCATCATCAGGAGAAAATCTCGCCCCGCTTCCCACACTCAGCACCCCGCGGGCTCGCTAGCAAGCAAGAGCGCATGCTCTATTTAGTAGTATTATTATATAGTATTTTCTTATTATTTAGATTTGATCAAATAATTAGGTTCTTTGTTACCCCCGAAGTATGGCTGATTTACCCCCCCGGAGGGGTAATTACCCCCAGGTTCGGAACCTTTTTTTTATACGCAGGCAAAAAATACTATTTACAGACGATGGCGCCTTTAAGAGGCACACCGCCGAACGGACCTCACACCTGGCTCCCGCAAGTCTTACGAGCCCCAGCAGTGGCTGCCCACTGAGGACCCCGTAACCCTTACGGGCGCTTTACATAATATCCGCTAAAAAACCCTGCGAACACCCTCTAAGCTAAAGAAAATATAACTAGAAAAAAATCCACGCGGACCAGGCAGCAGACGGGACTCGAACCCGCACCCTTCGCAATCCGGGCGAATGCACTGACCAATTATGCTACCGCGGCCCTCACGGACCACGTCGAAATTCTTCTAGCCATTCTTAAGCTGCAAGGCAGGAATTTTTTCTTGTTATATTTTCTTTAGATTTAAACATCAAGCAGTTACATGCTTTAAAATAATAGAAATTATAACCCTCTAAGCTGCTTAGCGCGAAGCCGCGGGCTCCCCGTTTAGGGATTCTTCCGCGTCTAAGGACCCCCAGGTTCGGAACCCAGGTGTTAAACGTTAACCACGTCCGCAGCTGGACTTCCCCGGCATCCGCGTGTCGTCGGTAGGCGTGCAGGGGGCAGCGGGCAACAACACGCTGGGCACGCAGTGGGAGCAGAGCACGGTGGAGTTGTCGCGCGGGCTCGACTTCACGCCGCGCGGCAGCGTGCTGGCCCGCTTCACGCATCTGCAGCACGAGGAGTTCCAATACGTGTGAGTCTCGTTCGTTTTGAAATGAAATGAAATGAAAAGTCATTTATTCAGTCTAGGCTGTTACAAGCACTTGTGAAGGTCAAGAAGCTACGCCATCGGTTCGCAAAACTACGGCGGGAGACCTTGTACTGAGAAGAACCGACAAGAAACTCAGCAAGGGCTGCTTTTTTCTCCCTGTATTGATATATACAGAGTCGTCAAGTTGAAAAATGACTTCAGACATACTTCTGAAGTCACCTTCCGTTACATTATTTAGGGTATAGATATATAGTTACAACAAATTTTATATTTAGTATATATAGGAAGCGGCATTAGATAGGTACCATACTACTGTTACAAAACTGACTCATACCCATCATTTATTAAGCTACTAGTGGCCCGCCCTCGCTTCGCTTCGGTGTAGAGCTGTAGTGTAAACTATAGTTTTTGTTCTCAGGTTTGTGCTATAAACGATGACTTTATTTATATAATTACACGTGTTATTGTGAGTCAACCATAAAAGATAGACATATGCTGTTGCGGGATATTTTTTAGACAATTTTATGTAGAATATTTCCGTCATACATGATTTCTATGTAAGTTTATCCATTACCACGGTACCAACGTTCGACGCATCACCGCGGTCGTCGGTTCAAATCCCACACTCGTATTTTAATTTTTTTATATTTTTTCTGCATAAATAAATATTTATAATTGCTTAAGTTGATAAAAATTCTATGCAATAGCTTTACCGCGGCAGTTCCCGAGTGCCACACGTATTTTTATCATTTTTTGTAAGACCAACAGCTTTTATGAATATTTTTTAAGCACATAACTGCTAGATGCCTCATGATAACCAACAGCTTTTAATAAAAAGAATGAAAACTCAAATACATAATAACAAAAAGAAAAAAAACACACTTCAACATAATTAAACACACTTTTAACGTAATAATTACAAGACAGAGCTATGAATAAACTAGGAGTGGAGGCGGTGATGGTGATTTATCATATTTGTTTAATTTTTAAGCATGTAACTGCTCCATGTATAAATGTAAAGCAAATATTACTAAAAAAGAAAATCACGCGGTCCAGGCAACAGACGGGACTCGAACCATTCCAATAATTTTCTGCTTTTATTAAAAAATAATAATTCTTCAACTTGTATCATCGTTTTATCATTTGCGGATATCAATTTGGTTTGTTCACTTCAATGACATCTCCAAAAGTATTTCCAAAAAAATAGTATTTTATTTTATTTATATTTAATTTTTAAAATATTTCCAAACTGTTTTGATAAATTTACTTGTTAAAGTTATAAAATGTGATTGGGCACCCATTAGTAACTTTTTTTTTATCTGTAGGTTTGAAGTGGACAACTCCAGCGGTCAGGCGACGATGGGCACGTTCCGCGTGTTCATAGCACCAACTGTGGACGAGAGTGGCAAGCCACTCCCCTTCGAGGACCAGCGCCGTTTGATGATCGAACTCGACAAGTTCTCGCAGCCATGTGAGTGATACCATGATAACAGTAAACGACCTCCATAGTCGAGTGGTTTGAAACCACACCACAAACCACTGGTTTGTGCGCCGGGTTTCAAGGTTTCGCCTACTCGAGAGGTCTCGGGTTCGAATCCCGGTGGGGGCAGATGTTTGTGTGATTAATACGAGCATTTGTACTCCAGTCATGGATGTTTAACATGTATTTTTATAAATACATTTATATTTGTATCAGTATATGTATTCTTCTTGAGCTCGATGGCGCAAGTGGTTAGCGCGTTCGGCTGCGATCGTTGCACTTAAGCAACTTTCGCAGTGATCGGTCATTGGATGGGTGACCAAAAATTACTATCTCGAGCTCCTCCGTATTAAGCCGTTGGTTCCGGCTGCATCTGCAGTCGTTAGCACACATCAATCCGCACTGGGCCCGCGTGGTGGGTCATGGCCCAACCTCCCTTTTTCATCCATAGGGAATGTCCTGTGCCAGCAGTGGGGACATTAATAGACTGATGTTGTTGATATTCTATCTATTACCTTAGTATCCCATAACACAAGCCTACAGTGCTTGCTTTGGGCTAGGCTAATTGGTGTGAGAATTAAAAAAAAAGCGAGTGTGCTTTTGACCACACGACTGAAGTGAAATTTCTTTAGATCCAATGATCTGAAAATCATAAACTTAACCTAAAGATTTGTTGATAGGAAAAAAACACCAATCCGCAGTGCCTCAACATGCACAAGTCGTCACTTTCACCGTGTAAAAGCCCCCTAACAATAGGGTATTTGACAGTTTTAAAAATAAAGTGCCAATTGTTAGCATCTGCATTTAGAATGAATATTGGCAGGAGTTTTTACTATTTATACAGAAAAAATATTCATAATTTTACTAAAAACCCACGATAAAGATAATAGTTTTCTTGTCTATTGTCACGTGACCCAAAACGCTTTGGATTGGTGGAGCCTAAAATGACGTCACACGCAAGTAAACTTCTGGTTAAAGTGACATTTGATTGTATGGTTTGACGTTTTAACGACAGTCGTGTGACGTCACACACCAGTGAGCCGCCATATTGTCCAGAGATACGTTTTCCGTGGCAACTTGAAAATACAGTTCTTGAATTAGTTTTTTTACCGAAATACACAATATAATGATGAATATCCACTTTTTATGGACTCTATAAACATTATGGAATAACGTGAGATCGTTTTCTAAAACTTGTCAAATACCCTATTGGTGTTTCTCGCAGTGAAAGACTGACATGATGACGATATCCTGTACCCTTAGTACGAGTTTTACAATTACGAAAACTATGATAGTTTTCGTGATCTCGCACCGTATTAAGAGTACTGATTTTATTGTTTTCGTTTCAATACAAATAAACAGTGTTTAAATTCTATCATTAAATCATTTGTTTCTTATTAAATTTTAAGTTAATTTGGTTACTTTTTACCAAAATGGACATTGAAGCATAATTTACAGTTACGAAAACTATGATAGTTTTCGTGAGCTCCAACTCGCACTAAGGGTTTTTTTATTTTATTTTTTTATGTTATAGGGGGGGGGGGCGGCATACGAGCAGACGGCTCACCTGATGGTAAGTGATCACCGTCGCCCATGGACACTTGCAACACCAGGAGTATCACAAATGCGATGCCGGCCTTTAAGGAAGGAGTACGCTCTTTTTTTGAAGGTTTTTGGGTCGTATCGGTCCGGAAACACTGCTGGCGACAACATATTCCACAGTTTTGTCGTACGTGGTAAAAAAATTCGACAAAAACGCACGGCCACGCATCAAGATGATGGGGATGAAATTTTTGTCGCGATGTACGATGGCGAAATGCAGCAGCTGGAATCAATCCGAACAATTCCTCAGAACACTCCCCGTGATAAATGCGATAGAAGATGCAGAGCAAAGCTACATCCCTACGCAAAGCCGAAGGATCAAGCCGATCGGAAAGATCCTGGTCGTCGACGATTCTGCAGTTATTTAACGATCGGCGTTCGTTTCAGTGAACGCCGGCAGCAACACGATCCGTCGCTCATCGACGGAGTCGTCGGTGACGATCCCGTACGAGCGCACGTTCCGCAGCCAGGCGGCGCGGCCCGGCCAGCCCGGCGACGCCGCCTCCGCGGAGTTCGACTTCTGCGGCTGCGGGTGGCCGCACCACATGCTGCTGCCCAAGGGCACCGCGCAGGGGTACCCCGTCGTGCTCTATCTCATGGTCACCGACTGGAACCAGGACCGGGTATATATCCATCACAGACGTTCACTTCATCATATTTTGAGTCTCCCTTTTATTATTGCTTTCCAAGGCAGTTGAACGGACGGGCCACCTAATGTGCCCGAGCAACTGTGCTTGTTGTATAGGATGCAGGTCCGGTCTTGCGTGGAATATTGCTCGCACCTCTAGGATGGCTCCGCTAAGTACTTGCTCGATGCTTTTGTAGGTTACTGCATCCGCATCATAAGCGATGAGGATGTGACAAAAGATATCGCGCGTCTTCAATTACGCAGTGACGTGTCTGTACCACGGCGAGTGTTCGAAAGTGTTATTCTCTCTTATTCCACCTTCTCCTTCCCTTCAGAGGACCACGCACGCTGGCCTTCGTTGTCACCATGTAACTGTGGCCACTATTCTAACGCGTACAAAGAAATTTGGTGACTCATTTCTTTGTCGCACTATCCGTAAATGGAATGCTCTGCCCGCTCACGTGTTCCCTCCCTCTTACAACCTGGGATCCTTTAAAAGAGGCTTGAAGAAACAACATGCAGGCCGGCAAAGTGAGGATGGCTGGTGTGGCAGGTAGAACTGCTGTATCAGCTATCTTTCCGTCTGGACTTCACCGTCACTTAACATCAGGTGGGGTGGAGAAAAATGTTAAGTGGTCACCATCACCCATGGACATCGGCAATGCCAAGGACACAGCCATTTTTTGCCTTTCGTGGACCACTCTATAAAAGCCTCTCACGAAGCAAACCATGTTATAGTACTGCAAGAACACCGCAGAGGAGAGCTCATTCCATAATTTTTGTTGTCCATGGAATAAAAGATCTCTGGAAACGAACAGTTGTGGGCTACAGTGTTTCCAGGTAATATGGCTGGATTCGTTTCCAGTGATGGATAATGAATTCATCATTATGATCTAATTAGGAGACTCAAATTTCTTGACTGCTTGTTCCATAATACAGAGATTCTGTATGTTACTTCGGCCCGCATGGGTTCGGATAGAGATTTTTAGTTATATCGACTACAAAAGCAGCATGCATGTAAATTCATATTCAGTGAAGATGTTCAGCACATTCAATATTATATTAATATCCCCACAGGTACAACAAGACACAGTCGGCACTTGCAACGACGCGGCATCTTACTGCGGCATCCGCGACCGGAAATATCCGGACCGGCGTCCGATGGGATTCCCGTTCGATCGTCCGGCGCCGGCCGCCACTCTGTCCGACTTCTTGCGTCCCAACATGGGCGTCCAGATGTGCACCATACGGTTCACGGACGCCACCAGAGTGCGGGGGCAGCGGTAGGTTGAAATAACCAAAAAAAGGGGGGCAAAATATCTAATATAACCAAAGGAATTATTATTCCCAATTAATAACCAAACTGAACCAAAGTGATGATAATGCTTAGTTGATTGAACCAAAGTAATTAGTATTCTTACCCAACTCAACTAATGATTTTATTCTCAGCTAACTTAACCAAAATAATGATTATTATACCTAGCTAATGTTACCGAAGTTAAAATAAGTTCTTAGCCAACTCAAACAACTAATATGGGCTCAGCTCAGCTGACTGAACCAAACTACCTAATGATTATTCTTAGTCAACTCAACCAAAGTAATGATGATGTTCAGCTAATTTGATCGAAATAATGATTATGCTGAGCTAACTAAACCAAAGCAATGATAATTTTGCAATATTAAATAATGCACTAATGAAACTGGAGTCACTACTGACACTTTGAAATGTGCTTCACTAAGAATTTGTTATAAATTAAGAATACTGTAATGAGACTCCGGCTTTTCAAAGCCTTATTAACTAGCGTATGAAAAAGAAAATAGATTTGTTATTCATTTCAGTAATTGACAATTAATATTATGTAATTAAACCGTTTTGTTCGCCAGCACCTCATATCGATAATGTGTACCTGAATCAAAACTATACTATAATTACAACAATACTGTAGGTACTTCTTATTGTTTACGGCTGAAATAGAATAAAATAACTTAATCGAATAATGCATAAAATGTTATTTTGTATTTTTCCAAGTACCATTTAGTTAAATGAAACTTTGTTCAGATTCATTCACAAAGAGACCACGGCTTCGTAAAATGGTATCCGATTTGCTATAACTTAGTAATATAAGTAATAAATATATTGTAACTTAGTTATTAAGAAATGGGTCATTATTTTAAGCTCTGTAAATATGTACATATTAACACAATCTCTACAATTCTTAAGACTGATTAAAGTAGCCTTTCAACAATTTTGTGTTTTCATTCATTTTAATATTTTTACTAGCTGTCCTTGCGAACTTCGTATCGCCATAAAAAAAGGGGTTGGTAGTAGAAGGGTGAAAATTTAGGGTTGTATATATTTTGTATATCGATGGTATAGCTCACAGATGTGGTATGTGCAATAAAGTAACTTTTACACAATAGCGTTTTTAAAGTTTGGATATCTGGTATATTTAGGCGTTAATAGGTGTAGCGGCTATATTTAGATGTACCTGTAAACAAGTTCATTGGCTAACATAATATATGTAACTAGAGGAATTAAAATAAAATTTGAATGATTAAGTTTGAATTAATTACCTATGGGTGTGCACTTACCCCTTCTGTGTACTTCTTTATTGTACATACCACATTTGACTGCTTTTGATATTAGGTTTTTAGAGAAAAGAAAAACCTTTTTATAATGTATTAAAAATTATTTAATTCAAAATTTTTTCCAGTCAAACTGCCGCACTCAAAGACGCCAGTTAAATTTAATTGGCAATTAAATATCTTTCCTATTTATTTTATACTAGCGGATCACCCGCGTGGTACCCATTCCTGTGGGAATATCGGGATAAAATATAGCCTATGTTAATCAGGGATACTGTAGCATTCTAAAAAAGAATTTTCGAAATCGCTACAGTAGTTTTTGAGTTAATTCAGTACATACATACAAATCTTTCCTCTTTATAATTATTAGTATAGACTAGACATAAATAAGAGACAGAGATTTAATTGTCAATTTAAGTTAACTGGCGTCTCTCGAGTGCTGCAGTAAATCTTGGAAGCATAGCATTAATCTGTTGCATTATTAAACTCAATAAGATTATACAAATTTAAAAAATTATGACAGAACGTCAGTGTTGCCAGTTTAGGTGTCAAAATATGCAAAGTGCCACATATCACATTTGTACAATTAAGTTGTAAATTGCTTGTGAAAGCCGAATGAGGTAAGGGCACATGCAACAATTGACTGCTACAACATTTTAATTTGTAGTGAATTTATCACACTTAGTACATTAGTAGATCATAACCGGACCAACATACGCTCACCACATTTGTGCACAATAAAATATAAGTTACAAGAGCAAACTCTGTGTACTTAACTCAATTTTCAATAAAAACGTACTTACCACATCTGTGAGCTATACCATCGATATGTATCATAAAAAAAATAAAACTAAAAAAATTGTCAAAAAAAAATTAAGGGTGGACCACATTGAGGGCGATGAATAATAGATGTTGTCCGATTCTCAGACCTACTGAATATGTATATAAAATTTCACGAAAATCGGCCGAGCCGTTTCGGAGTTGTTCGATTACGCACACCGTGACACGAGAATTTTATATATTAGATATACTATAACCTAAAGCAACCCGCCCCAGCTTTGCATGGGTGCAATTTAATATTGTAAGTAGTGACAAAACGAAAAGTTTTGGGAGCTCAGTACAAAATATCCATCTCGATAACAATAATTTCTAACGATTTTTAGTTTAAAAAATCTTCCATAATTTCTTGTCTTTAAACAAAATTTTACAAAAAAATAATCTGCCAAATTGGCAGAGTCATATTAATATTGTGTGGCATTCATCAGTCTCGTTCAAATGACTTGTACTGTAAGATAGATTTTTATGGTGAGGCCAACTCAGAAGTACCGATTTTAATTTCTGTCTCTAAAGACAGATCTATATATTGATATAAAATTAAATTACAGGTACTTTTTTCAAATAGAATTTTTTGAAAGCTCTAGAAAAAATATTTTGGGCGATTCAAAATCGTCCAATATTTTTTTCTATTACACATTCAGGACATCTTTTAGCTGATGAGAAGAATGGCCGCAAGAAACTCATCAGCGTTTAACAGAAGGAGCAACATTTACAAAAAAATCATGTCTCTCTCTGCAACATCCACTCACATTTTGATTGCTGTGATATCTATATATTATATCTACTATTAGTCTTATAATAAATTACAACTTTGCAGAGGTTCACTATTTTATTGACTCATCAACTAGGACGATGATCGCAGCAAAAGTAACTCAAACTAAGGTGGAGCGCTCTTTTAAAACTTTCCACCTCCACACATCTGTCACTTTTCATAGATTAACGTCTTTATGCAGCTTGTCTATGAACGGTATCATAGCCAATACTTCATAAAGACGTGCACACACCATCCCATAAGATTCGCAAAGCCAATGTCACCATACAGCCAACACGGCATACAGCCTACGTTTATGCAACCACCTTGAATACGAATGATCAATCGACATTACATCGATTAATCATTCAGATATCAAACTCCGCTACACTGGAAGTGTTTCCGCGTACTAACAAGTCATATTTAAATTATAGAAAATGGCAACATTGGCATAACGTCACATACTAAATGTTATGTCATCAAAAAGCGTTAGAAAAATAACATGTTTTGCTTAACTAAAGTAGAGTTTAATAATTATAAGTAACACTACATACAATAGATATAGTTATAAGTGTATACGATATTTGACACCTGTTTGTATTATCAGAGCAAAGAAATTTAAATATTGTTACATGTTTTTGATAAAGATCAAAATCGTAGTAGAAATCGGCATTCTAATTGTGAATATTTGTGTGAGCGATTCATATTGATTCATACGAAATGCATATCAATTACAAAAGAACTTTAGTTTTTGTAAGTGAAAACTTCTTTGGCACCGTTGTGATTTTAGATTCGATGAAACGGAAATAGAGTATTTGACACAAGATAGGAATCCGTAATTTTATTATTTACTATAAGAGATAGATGGTCAAACGGTAACAGTCTCGGGGTCAACATCAAATGATCGGTGGTTCGATCCTCAGCTCGGTTATTTTTTTTTTTGCTTTTTCTTTTCTTTTTTTAGGCCATTATTTATTTTTAGAAGCAATTTAAGTATAGAATATTTTAATTTCGCCAGTATTTTACAATACCTGAATAGTTAAGTATTAAGCGTTTGGTAGGTTCCTAAGTTGTTTATTAATGCAGGCTCGGTTTTTATCTCGAGGAGCTCGATGGCGCAGGTGGTTAGCGCGTTCGGCTGCGATCGTTGTAGTTAAGCAACTTTCGCAGTGGTAGGTCATTGGATGGGTGACCAAAAATTTCTATCTCGAGTTCCTCCGTGCTTCAGAAGGCACGTTAAGCCGTTGGTCCTGGTTGCATCTGCAGTCGTTAGCACACCCGCCAATCCGCACTGGGCCCGCGTGGTGGGTCATGGCCCAATCTCTCTATTCCATCCATCGGGAAGGCCTGTGCCCCAGCAGTGGGGACATTAAGAGGCTAATGATGATGATGATGGTTTTTATCAACAATCCTTTCCTTCAGAATATTTGCAATTTTTAACAGTAATTTATTGCTACTACATATTTCGCAAAAAGTACATAAGAAAAACGTAACAAAAGAAATAAAATAAAAATAGTTGGTAACAATTAAAGCCGCGGGTGGCTGAAGGACTTTACGTGTTCATATATTTGTGGGGTTTTAATTTAAACGCAAATAAAACTATGATATCTTTACATCACTGACACGGGTAAATCTTGTGGAATATGTGGATATATCACACTTTAAGATGAAATAATGAGAAAAGAGTGTTTTCTACAAAATTGGGGTCATTTCGGTTAAATGTCCACGACGTCCCCATTTTTCGCAGAGCGTGAACTTCAAACTGATGTAAAAAAATCTAAAGTTCAGGGAGCACTGCATTTTTATACACAACGCCATCTACATATTTTGCCTTAACTAAAGAGACCACAAGCAGTGATAAGGATGCTTTCTAAAGCGTGCCAATGAGCAAAAAACGGGATCGACCACAGTGATCATTCAAGTGTCCTCGGACGTTTGACTGTTGAGTTATTTTTGTTTGCGAAAAGTATAACTTAAATTAAATAGTATTTTAATGTTTCATTTAAAGTGATTAGTTTAATTATGTCCTTAAACAAAACGCACATTTTATTTTTTTTTTATTAAGCTACTATTTATAATTCAAAACAATTTAAGGCAAAAATATTAAATTATGACCTAGGGAGTTGAATTTCAACACAGGTGTTGTCTTTAGACGTGTTCAAACTTTTTTAGGTTTCACTTCTATCGCATGTGAACAGCACAATAAGTTTAAATAACTAATATTTCCAACACTCACACCAATTAGCCTAGCCCCAAAGTAAGCACTGTAAGGCTTGTATTATAGGATACTAGATAACGGATAGAATAGATATATTGTACATATATAAGTATATTTATATAGAAATACACATTAAACGTCCATGACTGGAGTACAAATGCTCGTATTCATCACACAAACATCTGCCCCATCGGGATTCGAACCTGGGAGGGACCTCTCGAGTCGGCGACACCATGAAACCCGGCGTATAAACCACTCGGCCAAGGAGGTCGTTAAAATATTACAATGTTAATGTCTACAAAACAGCATAGGCCTACATTGACTGTCTGTTCTGATAGAGTGATCCGAGTACAGTACGAAAGGTTGAAAATAAAAATGTTATCTTATAACATATTGTTACCGAAATAGAAAATTGCTTATAAGAATATTTTTTTTCCATCAGCAGTATTTTATCCAATACAGTGACTTCTCGTTAGTCGGAAATAGCCGTTCTGGACCGGAAATGACATTACTAATGGCAGTCCGGGCTAATATCTGTCGGGAGGTGGCAGAAAGTATTCCGCCCCACGCATTCAGTTGTGAGTGGAAAGTCTTGCTTTCTGCATAGAGTTTGACCTACTTCGTGCCTAGTTCCAATAATCTTTTTGTTGTGTTTTAACAAAAAATAGATATGGGCCATCCATAAACTACGTCACACGGAGGACGGAGGGGGTTAACGAAGTGTGACATTGTGACAAGAGGTGGAAGGGGTCCGAAATTGTGATGTCGCATTTCAAAATCTAATATACCTCATCATCATCATCATCAGCCTGTTAATGTCCCCACTGCTGGGGCACAAGCCCTCCCTATGGAT